CAATCCATACAATATACAATACTTTCCTTCAATCCATACAATATACAATACTTTCCTTCAATCCATACAATATACAATACTTTCCTTCAATCCATACAATACACATTACTTTCCTTCAATCCATACGATATACAATACTTTCATCCAATCCATGTAATATACAATACTTTCCTCCAATCCATATAATATACAATAATTTCCTTCAATCCATACAATATACAATACTATCTGTAGAACCGTTTACAATCCGTTATCTATAAAACTGTTCTATAGGTTTAAGGATCAATAATCTCAGTTTTATGGACTCTTGAATCATGTTTATGAAGCCTGAATTAGATTAATGGATTCAAGATTATAGAATGATATACATGAGAGAAAGGAAAATATTTTTCTTCTTCTATGGACTAAAGTTAGCAAGGAAAAATATAAGTTGAAAGAAATAACGCGTATATTGTATCATCAAATTACCATTATGAAAAAGAAAGAAAGAAAACTTTTGTTTTACCTGAGTATGCCTGTTCTCTCTAGAATCCAGTTCATTCTGACAAGCATAGATATTTTCAGGCTGTGGGCGTTCCCAGGCTTGCTGGGACTAAACAGAGAATACTTTTAGGTGGACGTTCCCAGGATAGTTGGGGCTAAATAGAGAATACTTCTATGTGGACGTTCCCAGGCTTGTTGGGACTAAATAGAGAATACTTTTAGGCAGGCGTTCCCAGGTTAGCTGGGACTAAATAGAGATTACTTTTAGGTGGGCGTTCCCAGGCTAGTTGGGATTAAATAGAGAATACTTTTAGGCAGGCGTTCCCAGGTTAGCTGGGACTAAATAGAGAATACTTTTAGGTGGGCGTTCCCAGGCTAGTTGGGATTAAATAGAGAATACTTTTAGGTAGGCGTCCCCAGGTTAGTTGGGACTAAATAGAGAATACTTTTAAGTAGGCGTTCCCAGGTTAGCTGGGACTTAATAGAGAGGTTCACCCAGAAAGTGTCTTAACTAACCTAACCCGTGGCCGCAGCGCTCGGCCCCCTAGCCTGTCCTAGCCGCAGCGCTAGGCCCAGAAAGTGTCTTAACCTAACCTAACCCTAAATAATAATAAATAAATACTAACTGTAACAGATGTCAAAATTTAAACAAAATTTGCCCCTTTGTCGCATTTTTTGACCCTATGTCGTTTTACCCTTTGTCGTTTGACCCTTTGTCGTTTTACCCTTTGTCGTTTGACCCTTTGTCGTTTTACCCTTTGTCGTTTTACCCTTTGTTGTTTGACCTTGTGTCGTTTGACCTTTTGTCGGTGAATCAATAGAGAATACATTTAGGCAGACGTTCCTAGGTTAGCTGGGACTAAATAGAGAATACTTTTAGGTAGGCGTTCCCATGTTAGCTGAGACTAAATAGAGAATACTTTTAGGTAGGCGTTCCCAGGTTAGCTGGGACTAAATAGAGATTACATTTAGGAAGGCGTTCCCAGGTTAGCTGGAACTAAATAGAGAATACATTTACGCAGACGTTCCTAGGTTAGCTGGGACTAAAAAGAGAATACTTTAAGATGGGCGTTCCCAGGTTAGCTGGGACTAAATAGAGAATACATTTACGCAGACGTTCCTAGGTTAGCTGGGACTAAAAAGAGAATACTTTAAGATGGGCGCTCCCAGGTTAGCTGGGCCATACATGGCCATAATGAAAAAAAAATTGAAATGTTGTAAAAAAGTAAAGAAATAATGAAAATATTGTTAGTATTCTACAGGGTGTCCCAAAAAACATGGGAATTCAGTGACGAATTGTATATCGTCTTTGCTATGAATTAGCATTGTAATACCTAATTTCAAAAGCCATAATATTATTATGTCTGCTAGAGTTTATTTTATGAAAAGGGTAGAAGACTGTAAGATGTGTGTATAATGTCTCCGCAAGATGAACAGTGAAGACGGACAAGTTTACTCTGTTTGTATACTGCAATTTTCTTGTTTTACTAAGTACAACCGGTTGCAGTCAAAACATAAACAAACAAAATGTGAACATAGCAGACGAAACTCTTACAGATTACAGCTTTCTCAGTTGGTATCACTTTACTAAATCAAAGAATTATTTAAAAAGACGATATCGAATTCGTCACTGAATTCCCATGTTTTTTGGGACACCCTGTAGTTTAAGGTATGAGTAAGTGTCTTAGATAAAATCATAAATATTCTAAATATTTTAGGTGAATCTGTACAGTGTATAGTGTATAGTGTATATTAAATATAAACATTAAACGATTATAGGAAAACTTGGAAAGATATGATAGAAATTCTAAAATATAAAATAAAATTCAAAAGTATGATTTTATGTCTAATAATTCTATACATTAGAAGTCAAATGTAAAATAAGAGAAAGTAAACCTGTTTTTTTTTGAAAATCCTTTTTAGAGTTTTAGCTTAAAACATGACTTTAAAATTTATTTTTATAAGAAATATCAACTAATATGCTTATTCCATTTTATCACGGGATATCAGCTAGTAGCCCGACTTTTGTATCTTAAATTTTAGGAAGAAAAAACTCTCTTCCCTCTCATCCCCCTCTCCTCCTACCTCTCTATTGATGAGTTGACAACATGTAAACGGAAAATTTAATTCCTGAGATATTCTCCAGTCAGAGATATTGTAGTCAGAGCTAGATACAACACCACAGCAGGAGAACTAGGTAGGTAAGCAGGTAGGTTGTGTACGTAGGTAGGTAGGTAGACAGATAGGATTGTAGATAGGTAGGTAGGTAAGGGAGTTCTAGTTAAGTGAGGCAGGAAGGTAGAGGTAGGGAATTTCTAGGTAAGTGTGGCATGCAGGTAGGTAGGGGGAGTTCTAGGTAGGTGGAAAGATAGGTAGGGGAGTTCTATGTAGGTGTGGTAGGTAGGTAGAGGTAGGGAAGTTTTAGGTAGATGTAGCAGGTAGGAAGGTAGGGGGATTTCTAGAAAGGTGAGACAGATAAGTAGGGGAGTTCTAGGTAAGTGTGGCAGATAGTTAGAGGAGTTGTAGGTAGGTGTGGAAGGAAGGTTGGGAGGGGACTGGGGAGTCCTAGGTAGGTGTGGAAGGAAGGTAGGGAAGGGAGTCCTAGGTAGGTGTGGAAGGAAGGTAGGTAGGGGAGTCCTAGGTAGGTGTGGAAGGAAGGTAGGTAGGGGAGTTCTAGGTAGGTGTGGAAGGAAGGTAGGTAGGGGAGTTCTAGGTAGGTGTGAAAGGAAGGTAGGGAGGGGAGTTCTAGGTAAGTGTGGCAGATAGTCAGGGGAGTTCTAGGTAGGTGTGGATTGTGGAAGGAAGGTATGTAGGGGAGTCCTAGGTAGGTGTGGAAGGAAGGTAGGGAAAGGAGTGCTAGGTAGGTTTGGAAGGAAGGTATTCAGGGGAGTTCTAGGTAGGTATAGGGTGAATTAATATTTACCTTAAACTGTAAATGATCTACTGCTCTGCTAAATGACTCTAAGGTTCCGTATTCTCTGTATAATCTGTTCTGTAATGTATCCTGTAAAATATATAAATATATGTATATCAGTTGAAACGCAACAATCTTCTTATAACATTTTATTCATAAACAAATTGTTTATATGTATATGTATTATGTATACGAATTTACATTTTCATCATTTATTTATTTAATTACATCAATCTGATAAGCTTTAATATAATCATAAGGTAACAATTTGATTTTCCTTATTTTCCTTGCTGCATTGTAATACCCAACAAAGAATAAATTCTATCTGATTCATCTTTAAAGTTCTGCTAATTTTAACCGATTGTGTAGGCTCATTTGTCATTGAGAATAAATCTCAATATTTTAAAGGGAGTGTTCGCGAAAAATGAAAGGGTGTATGGGCTTAATGCGATAAAAAAGCGCTTTTGATTGCTATTAATCTTACTTCTATCTGTTGCGTCTATAAGGAGAAAATTGTTAAAGACGTCTCATACCGAATAACATGGCGTCCATACAAATTGAGAAAATTGCAAAAAATCAAATTAATTTCAAACAAATCATTCAGATATTACAACCTATAGTCATCGATTATCTTTCGCCACATTTATATATAGTTGATTTTTCATAATATGTTTTAATTTTTATGATCTGAGAGTTACTTATAAAAACGTTTATTCCTGTCTCGAGGATTTTTGGTAATGAAGACGACATTTTCATATTTTCCTGGAATGCTCGAAAACAAGTTGTAAGCGAAATATTATTTTAAAAAACAAAATCAAAACTAGTATGAAATATCAAATATATACAAATGTGGCGAAAGATAATCGATGACTTTGCATTGCAACCTGATTGTGTAGATAGATAGATATATATTTGACTAAATAATTAATTAAAAACAATTGTAAACCTTTCATATTTCAAACTTTGAATGATTGAAATTTATATCAAAGGTCTTCGACACTTGGTTGCAAAGGTTTAGCAAATTAGAAAAATCATTTCATTTTCCATGAAAACATCAGAGACGACATTTCCCATAAAAATATCAGAGACGACATTTGTAATTTAATATCTTTATTTAGTCTTTTTTCCCATGAAACATCCATTTATCTTTCTTTGTTCGTTATAAAAGTTTAACTCTTCAAGGGTAAACCTGTAAGATAAATTTACTGAGCTCGTTCTTTATCAAACTATATAATGGTTGTCTTAATGACGTACTTTAAGGAGCGATTGTTTTTCCCTTTCCAAATTATCTTTCTATCAGATAAGAAACTTACATGAGACATCTAGAAAAGAAGGACAATGTTAAATTGTTAATACGTAAGTTAGAGAAAGAAAAGCCTAAGTTGATCCTAGACCATGGTCTGTGTAAGACCTTTCCCGAGCTTTCCTTGTTATTAACGCCTAAGAACTGAGAAAGCAGTATCCTGAAATGCTTAAATGCGTATAGTCCGACCATACATAAACAAGAGGGTAATTAATCAAATAGAGGAAGAAATAATCTTAAAAATTCCTGAAGAATTCTGACAGTACATTATACCAATCCAGCTTTTTACCTAACTTACTCAGCTCCTGGAGCCCTTATGGAAAATCTCTAACAACACTTTGGATAAAGAGACAGCTTCCTAGTTGTATTTGCGGAAAGATGGAAAGATGTAAAATCAGAGGAAAAGCTGGGATAATTTGCGGAAGATCTCTTGATACCCCTTTACAACTTCCTAAACCTCCAACCTTATCCTACTTCACGAGCAGATACAGTGGAACTCAGAAACAGCTTTACTGTGGAATCTTAATCAAAACTTTCTGAGAAGGATCAGCGATGTGACATGGGAGTTCATGTCCTAGGGGGTGCTCCTTGATCATGTTGAACCTGGCTGAACGCAGTTATTGGCTAAGGAGATTTCTTGAACTTTTTTTTTCTAAATTACTTACTGCAGGATACATGAAACTTTGTTGGAGCAGAGTATAAACCTTTAGAAAATTTGACAATGTCAGCGCGCTTCATGATGAGATTTGCATAAAAAATTCCGGCTGTGCCCAGGTGAATCAGACCAAGAAAAAAATATATTCTGCATTCCATCCAGGATAGACATACATATTACTTTATGCAAATTATGCAACATTTAGTTAGATAAAGTGAATAAGAGGATAGAGTGTACAAATAAGAAGAGTATTGGGAAATATAATTACCTGCATTTAGTTAAANAAAGTTGAACTGCCTCTGATGTGAATGAATTGAACCGATGGGATAAAGTTGAACTGCCTCTGATGTGAATGAATTGAACCGATGGGATAAAGTTGAACTGCCTCTGATGTGAATGAATTGAACCGATGGGATAAAGTTGAACTGCCTCTGATGTGAATGAATTGAACCGATGGGATAAAGTTGAACTGCCTCTGATGTGAATGAATTGAACCGATGGGATAAAGTTGAACTGCCTCTGATGTGAATGAATTGAACCGATGGGATAAAGTTGAACTGCCTCTGATGTGAATGAATTGAACCGATGGGATAAAGTTGAACTGCCTCTGATGTGAATGAATTGAACCGACGGGATAAAGTTGAAGCTAAGAAATAAAGAAGTACTTGCCAGACTATAACTTCGTAAATTTCCTGTAAAGATATTTCCTATTCTAAGTTTTATTTAGTATTTCTGAAATTTTTCTCTTCTACATTTATTCGACTGTCACTATATATCATACTATGCAACACTTTAAATTCAATGCATATATATAGCTTTAGCAGTTTTATATATATTCAGATTTTTATTCAAAAATATATTTATTTATTCAAAAAGATTCAATTTTAAAAGTAACTCACCAACTTAAGTTAAGTTCAGTTTATTTTGTTTCAAATTTTTTTTTTTGGTGACTAAAATAGCACACAATCTGATTTATTAAGTGCAAAACCAGGGTGAAGAAATAAATGCTGAAAAAATTACTATAATGATTTTGGATTATCACAATTTTTTGTAAATATTAAAAGAAAGTAAGATATTCAACATTTATTTTTAAACAAACTAGGAAACTTATTGAAATGCAAATTGTCTTTAATGAATTTGAGCTACCTAGTACCTACTGACTGTTCAAATTTGAACCACTGCACCGATTTAAAATAAAGATTAAGGAGGGATTTGAATCAGTGATTAGAACTTTAACCGGCGGTATGCAGTTCAAATTTATGTAATATATTCCCTATTGAAGTAAACATTTTCATCGTGCATTCTTCCTAACAAATTACTAATCAAACCATCGTTGCATTCCACCCTCTCAACTATCCATTTATCTATCCTTGCATTCTACCTTCTCAACTATCAATCTATCTACATTTGTATTCTACCCTCTCAACTGTCCATCTATCTATCCCTGCATTCTACCCTCTCAACCATTCATCTATTTATTCTTGCATTCTACCCTCTCAACTATCCACCAATATATCCTTGTATGCTACCCTTCCAACTATTCATCTATCTATCCTTGTATTCTACCGTTCTAACTATTCATATATCTATCCTTGTATTCTACCGTTCCAACTATTCATATATTTATCCTTGTATTCTACCCTCTCAACTATTCATCTATCTATCCTTGTATTCTACCCTCTCAACTATTCATCTATCTATCCTTGTATTCTACCGTTCCAACTATTCATCTGTCTATCCTTGTATTCTACCGTTCCAACTATTCATCTATCTATCCTTGTATTCTACCCTCTCAACTATCCATCTATCTATCCTTGTATTCTACCCTTCCAACTATTCATCTATCTATCCTTGTATTCTACCATTCCAACTATTCATCTACCTATCCTTGTATTCTACCATTCCAACTATTCATCTATCTATTCTTGTATTTTACCCTTCAAACTTTTCATCTATCTATCCTTGTATTCTACCCATCCAACTATATATTCATCTATCTATCCATCTATCAATCTTTATATCTATCTAAGTCATCCAACTATCTATTCATTCATCTTCCCATCTATCTCCATCTATCTATCCATCTATATATTCATCTATCTATTAACATATCTAGATTAGCTATTCATCTACCTATTCATCTATTTACCCATCTTTCTATTTATCTACCAAACCATCTATATATTCGTCTCTCTACCTGACCATCTATTTACCCATCTATCTATTCATCTACCAAACCATCTATCCATCCATCTATCTGTGGGGATAAAAGGAAAAGGGAAATTGAATATTGGCTGGTGTATTGGTATACATTCACAATATATACATATTACCTAATAGATACATTAGAAAAAAAATAAGATGGACTGATAGAATAGAAGCCAAGATAGATAGATAGATGAAAAGTTGTAAAGATAGATGGACAGATAGTTGGAGATAGATGAATAGATAGTTGGATAGAAAGATGGAAAAATAGATGAATAAATAGATAGAGATGCATTAACAGATATATGGTATAGAAATTGATAGACAGTTAGATAGATATTAGAAACCCATTACTTCCTATGTAAAAGTAATATAAAAGTATTTAGAAGGATCTAGTAGAAGGTTGAAGATTAAGTAGGATAAAAGTTTATAGTTTGGTAGAAACTAAAGGTGAGGAGTTTTACAAGTTTCATAAACTTACAAGGATGGATGTTTTTTAGATCATGATGAACTTATATAGTTTTCTTTCTTCTAAATATCTAATACAGCATTATTCATTAAATCTATCAGAGGGACAGCTTTATGAGAGGACTGTTTTGTCCTTTATATTTTCATTGTTTAATATTTTCAAATATTTTTACTACATTTATAGCCAGAAAAATCTGAAATAGGAAGACGACTTTTTGAAACAAGACAATTTAAAGGGACTGCAAAGGAAAAATGAAAGGGGGTATAGGATGAAACCGAAGCATGAGAGTTTTATCTGATGTTCCTGTCTCGAGAAATTGATAAAAAAAACTGTGTGAAATTTATACGAACATCTATAAATATAAAATTTTGTATACAAATATTAGGATTAAACAGATCATATTTAGCAAATACGCAACCAACCTGAAAACTATGATATCCCAGAGGAGCCTAAGTAACTTAGGTTTGCTGCTAATTTGAATTTAATTTTTCATTTTTAATAGATATAATTGATAATATAATAAATACTTCCGTATCACATGACCAGAACCCGCACCAATGGCAGTGCAGTATCATTATCACTTGTCTCAATCTAAATCACGTGACTAGTATACTTCACTGCCATTGGTGGGAGTTCTGGTCACGTGATGCGGAAGTATTTATTATATTATCAATTATATCTATTAAAAATAAAAAAATACCAAATTCAAACAATAATAGGAGCAAACCTAAGTTACATAGGCTTCTCTGGGATATCGTCGTTTTTAAATTGGTTGCGTATATTAGCTGAATATGATATGTTAAAACCTACTATTTTTTTCAAAAATTTCATATTTATAGATTTTCATGTAAATTTGACACTTTTTTTATCAATTTCTTGAGACAGGAACATTAGATGTAACTCTCATGGGTATCGATCAACTTCTCGAATGCTAGGTTTCAGCCTATACCCCCTTTCATTTTCTTGTACAGTCCCATTAAGTATTGCTAGGTCGACTTCCTTTTCCATTGTTTTCTGGTTATCACTCTCAATATAAATTCCAATATGGATTCAAAAACTATTCTCCTCTTCATATCTCTCTCCAAAATGTGAAAAATGAAAGTAAGTGATTCTAAAAAGTGTTGTTCACTATACCCTTCAACAAGATAGTGTTAAGCTCTTCAATATAAAGTTTTAAAATTCTCTCAAAATATAATCCAAATTTCGTATTTAACCAGAATTTCCATTCTTGCAAGGAATTTAAACTTTCATTTTATTTCTCGATAAAACTTAATTTTAATTCAACTTGTTAAACTTGAAAATACTATGTCTTGGATTAAAATTTTTTGATCTCTCTTGAAATCGAATTTTGATAGAAATATTACGATCCCAATATATTTTTAGCGATTATGCATCTGGTGTAGAAAATTCAAAATATTAAAAAGATTCGTCTTTTTTCATTTCGTATTAGAATTTTTAAATTGTGTGACTTCGGTATAAAAAGTCATTCTTCTTCTGTGTATTTTAATTCTTCAACAACTATTTTTCAATTCATTGCCTTATTTATAGTAATTGTTGATTTTCTTTTAAACTATCTTGGCTTTACAACTGAAGGGCAGAATGTAAAAAAGTTTCAAGATTAGTGAAATACATTATATTATATTGATCTTATGTACGCGTAATGAGTGGGATTTAGCGTTCTTTACAGGTTAACATTACTCACAAATTTTCTTTGTCAAAATACTTTTTTTGTACGAAAATAAAACCGCTTAACTAACTTTTGTGAACTTTTTCCTTGAATCGATTAGAAATTTGTTTCTTTTCTTGTCCACATTTTCTTACCGCAGATTTGCACAAAAAATTTCTTAAATATTTTATCATTCTAATCTATCAATGCCATTTTTCTGAAAAAAAATTATATTTGCAATTTACAATTTACTTTTTAATAATTTTTTTTTTCTAGAAAACACAATCTCTTCTTTTTTTTGCTTTAGGCAAACTGCCTCTTTTTGTAATTTTTAAACTATGTAGTATGTTTATGCTAAGGTTAGAAATGTGATAAATGTCATCGATGCCTCAAACTCTGATCTTTAACTCCAAACACCTTAGTAACCCGCGCGGAGGTACTTCTGTGTAGTGTGTTCAGTGTATTTAATCTTAACCGTTGATTTAGATATTACGTGTGGGTACTTTGAAATTTGAGGATAAATGCTTGATTCTTCTATTAGAGATACCTCTGCAAGGAATGTCCACGACGGGACGATATTAGGTACTTTCCCAAGGGTATTTTCCCAAGTGACTACTTACCAAATGATCAATATCCCAACTGGCAACTTCCCAAGTGTGGTCCAGCCGCAGTGCTTTGCCCCCCCCCCTAATCTGTTAAACTCGAAGCGCTCGTCCCCTATCCCATCCTAGCCGCAGTGTTAGGCCCCCAAAGGTTCCGCTTGGGAAATTGCACATTTGTAAATTTTTCACTAAGAAAATTGGCACTTGGGATGTTGCCGTTGGGAAAGTTCCCTTGGGAAGTTACTAAACACCCAGGGGTGAGGAAATAAGTTTATACTTCAAACTTTGATTATATGATCTAGAATGATCTTAGATTAAAATACCAAAGATACAACAGTAGGTTGCAAAGATTAAAGGAATAAAGAATTAGAGGATAAGGCAAGTAATCAGTTCCTTTTTATGTAAATATTCATGAATTAACAAAAACATAAATAAGATAGATGAAAGGTTAGCTTACCTTTGCTAAGTAAATTAGGTTGATTTGGTAGATTAGGATAGTAATAGAGAATATAGATTCAGCCAGCAGTAGAATACATAACAGTATCATATACTAAACAGTAGAATAGAGTAGAATACATAACAGTATCATATACTAAACAGTAGAATAGAATTGAATACATAACATCATATACTAAACAGTAGAATACAGTAGAATACATAACAGTCTCATATACTAAACAGTAGAATACAGTAGAATACATCACAGTATCATATACTAAACAGTAGAATAGAGTAGAATACATAACAGTATCATATACTAAACAGTAGAATACAGTAGAATATATAACAGTATCATATACTAAACAGTAGAATACAATAGAATACATAGCAGTATCATATACTAAGCAGTAGAATACAGTAGAATACATAACAGTATCATACACTATACAGTAGAATACAGTAGAATTAAGTATAAATACATAATAGTATCGTATACTAAACTGTACGGTAGAATATATAACAGTATCATATACTATACAATTAAATACATAACAGTATTGTATTCTAAACAGTAGAATGATTTGTTTGAAATCAAATTGATTTTTTTACGGTCTAAGTCGAATGTTGCAATTTTCTCAATTTGTATGGACGCTAAGTTATTCGGTATGAGACGTCTTTAACAATTTTCTCCTGATAGACGCAACAGATAGAAGTAAGGTTAGTAGCGATCAAAAGCGCTTTTTTATCGCATTAAGCCCACCCCGGACTAACCAGAGTGAGCAGCATTCGGTTCCTTCTATTTGAAATCAAACGTGATTTGTTTTATAATTCAACAATCTTTTACTTTACGGATTTGTTTATTTCATCCATTTTCATTCAAAATGCATATGCCGACAAAAAAGTTTAAAAGAAAAAATGTTTACAAATTATGTTTGATGGATCAAATTGTGATCGAAAGTCACAGCTTTCTGGAATATTGACAGAACCGTTAAATCTACGTGAGCCTATACCCCCTTTCATTTTCGCGAACACTCCCTTTAAATCAAATACAAACTACAGTTTCAGAAACATATTTATAGCAAGTATTAGTACAATTTTTTCTACATAAAAAGTGTATTCAGCATAAAATATTTCAAATAATTTTACAATTTTCTAAATCACCCATTGTTTTCTGAGAATTGTTTGATCTTTTTAATAAATCTCGGATCTAAGGTTAAGAGAAGAATTATATATTTGTAAAAAGTGCAGAGTAATTTCCAGGTCTTAACCGTGCTTTGAATTGTTAATGAAAAAACAGAGCTTTTAGGGCTTTCCTTTCCAATTGGATTTATATAAATTTTCTGATTTCAAAATAATTGATTCCTTGCAGGACGGAAATGGCGAAAAATAATAATGGCATTATTTTATTGATTTTTTTTTTAAAAGGAACTTTGCCTTCAAATTAGATTAAAATCATTATTAGATAATTTTCAGAAAATTTTTAGGTTGAATTTTTTATTACATTTTTCAAAACTTACAAAAAACAAACAATACGTTTGATTAGGACATCATGGACGTTTGACAAAATAAGGAATTATATATAAGGAGAAGGTGTCAACTGCTCCAATATTCAAATTTTGGTAGTTGCGCGGTGGTATAGAGGGACAATGTAAACAGTTCTAGTGCTGTTTAGTTTTGTTTATATTCCCTTCGTAAACTGCAGTACACTTTTATCTAAACAAAGATGTATATCAGGTTCCTAGAACAGAATTTAATGAATTTGAGCTGAGTTGCTGAACTACCTTCTGCTGGTTCAAATCTTGAATCACCGATTCAAAGTTAAAAGATTCATAAGTATTTGAATCTGTGATTCAGGATTTAAACCGGCGTTCTACAGTTCAGCTACCTTTTAAATGCATTTAATTCCTTGTTTATCTTCCTTGCATATGATATATGTACATTAACAATTTTCCAAGAAGATTGAAATGCCACACAAAAATCTTTGCATGCAATATTTTGTGGGCTTTTAATTATAAAGGATTAATTAAGAAGATTTGATAATGAATCTTATATTTTCCAGAGCTATTCAGTGATTTGGTAAAATATATATAATCTTTTTGGGGTTAACTTTCTAAATGGGATTTTCATCAGTAAATTATACTTCAGTTTTTGGTTACATACATCTTTGCAAAAATAAAAGAAAAGAGGAAAAATGTTTAATGTTGTGTTTTGTACATTCTGAAACACATCTTCAAACGTTAAAAATTAGGAAATATCCTGCGTTTGGCAAACATTTTCCGAGCCTTACTTTCGTTTCCAAACATGTTCTCTTTTTACTTGTTTTGAAGAAAAGTCGATCTATAAGAAAAAATCTGGTGCTAATAGGGTACCCACATGATAAACTTTTACAAGTAAAAAGTCGCTATCATTGATAAAATGTGTAATTTTGTTTTTATTTTTTAAAGGGAGTGACCGGCTATGTAAGGTAGTTGAACTGAGTATGCAGTGTTGTAGAAAGCTTCTTTCGGATTCATTTAAGGCATTTAAAGATCTGTTAATCCTGAGTTTGAGCGCAAATTCGACGTTCAAAACTCCTACTTTGGGGGTGGATACGTTTACAGAATTAGTTTTTTTTTAATTATTAAATAACGACAACGAAAAATAAAGTAAAAATTATACAGTAGTCTAATTAGATGGTTAGGAACATATTTCTCAAAAGAAATTTGTCAATAAATCAATGCTCAAATCGATTATTTCGTTTCCATTATTATATTGAATTTCTAATTTTCTTTGAATTTATTCGCAGATTTCTTCAAATTCTTCAAATGTCGTCTTTTCAATAATAATTCTAGAAAATCTGCGAAAATCTTTGTGAATAATGAGAAACAGAATAATGAGATAATAGAAACTAATAATTGAACAAGATTGCTTATTTTCGATGATAAGATTAATTTTCATTTTCTCAACATGTTCCTATACATGACGTCTGTAGTTTATTGTAGAACTTTTTTACATTTTATGTCGTCGTTATTTAATAATTTAAAAAAAATAATTCTGAAAACGTATCCACCCCCAAAGTAGGAGTTTTAATATCGAATTTGCGCTCAAACTCAGGATTTACAGATCCTTAAAAAGTTTAATATGTCTCAAATGAATCCGAAAGAAGCTTTCCACAACACTGCATACTCAGTTTAACTACCTTACATAGCCGGTCACTCCCTTTAAGCCAAAGTTTTTTTGAAAAAAAGTCTGTCTTTTGTTCTTGAGAAAGGTTTTCTATTAGTTGGCATAAAATCTACGAATTTGTAAAAATGTAATCAGCCATCATCCGTAAATTGTAAAACAAGTTTCTGATAGTTAACAAAACTTCAATTACCCCCGGCCCCCCACTCCATTTATAGAGTTGTATGCCTAATTCACAACAGTGCTCTTTAGATATTTAAAAAGTAGAGTTATGGCAATTTCATTATTGTCGCAATTTACTTTTTTTAGAAAAAACACCATTAAGTTAAATCCACATTAAGAAGAACAAGGATATTTTCAACATTTTATTCAAACATATTGTCTTTGTAGCCTATTATTAATATAATAGGCTATATATTAAATATACCCTTTTTAAAAAGGTTATACAACTGGTAATGGAGTTCCACTTGATATTATGTTAACAGTCTCTTTATCGTTACTTCATAGTGTACACAAGGGATAGTTTTCTGCACTAGTCAACTTTGCAAAATTTTGCACAGTTTTGCAAAACACTGAACATGAGCAGTCCCAATTGCACAGTTTTTAACATTGCCAAAAGAAAACCAGAAAACTGTGGAATATAAATTCGTCCGACATTAGAATAGTATTGAATTGAATTTGATGTTGTATCAACGCAAATTTTTTTTTTCCTCATTATGTGAAAAGATTTGTGTACACTGAGCAATTGCTGTATCTCATGGTTCATCGGACTATTTAAATTCAAATCTTGTGTTTGAAAGTCGTCTTCCTATTCCACAGTTTTCTGGTTCTCACTTTAATTCTGGAGTTTGTGTTAATTTATCTGTGTTCAAAAAGGTTGTTAATCTTTAAAAGTGACATTAATATTTTTTAAAAACTAATTTCACCCAAAAAGTTTGTACCACTGCACTGGATAAAAATAAGTGTTTTTTTTTTACAATTTTTACCTAAAAAAATAGTATCGTACACTGGGTAAAAGTGGCTCAAATCAAATTTTCACATTTTTTACCTAAATTAACATTTAAAATTTAAATTTTCCTCTCCCATAAAGAAATCTAGTTCCCGAGAAATATTTCTGTTTACTTTATTACATTATCATATTTATACAATAACTTTATATTAGATTAGTCCGCTGTATATTCAACATTTAACAACATTTATTATCATAAAATTATCATAAAAACAAAATATTCATCCATGGGCTATCTTTAGCAAGAATCTTAAACTACGGTTAAAAGAACCATAGATAAAGATAGATTGCGCATAAGACGACATTTTTCATCTTGAAAGATATAAATGTACAGAGATGTTTTAAAGATATTCCTATTATATAGATTAACTAGGTCGGTTGTGAACATTGGCTGTTCTTATGTCATTGAGTACTTGTGGTGTACATGAGTTCTGTAGAGAGAAATTTAAGTTAGTTTAGTCCTTCTCATGTCCTTCTTCAGTTCTCGTCAATATGATATATTGCTCAGTGCAATAATTTGATATTCTCCAAATAAAATTCACTCCTGAGTGGGTAAATAATTATGAAATCCATTAAAACACCAAACTACCCCGCTTATCATTGAAGTACACTGTGACCCCTAGAAGTATTAGTTCGTGGACTGTACAATTCTTGGTGATTTTGCATAAGCTATCTATGTTTATTTATTTATCTATAAAAAGAACATTTTAAAAATTGAATTTTGTGGAATTTATTGAAAAGAGGACGGATATCTAAAAAGAGGGTGGATATCTAAAAAGAGGGTGGATATCTAAAAAGAGGGTGGATATCTAAAAAGAGGGTGGATATCTAAAAAGAGGGTAGATATCTAAAAAGAGAGTGGAGATCTAAAAAGAGGGTGAATATCTATAAAGAGGGTGGATATCTGAAAAGAGGGTGGATATCTAAAAAATGGTGTATTTCTAAATAGAGGGTGAATATCTGAAAAGAGGGGGAATACTGAATATCTTTACTCTTTCTTTAGATATCCACCTGATGGGCGGATTTTTAGTAACTGGAAAATCTGGAAAAAGAGCGTGGATATCTGAAAAAGAAAAAGAGCTTTGACTTGGCCGCTTGCTTAGGTAACTAATATAAATTACAATGATATTTTACCGGAAGTAAAACCTTTTCTGATATGTAGCTAATATACAACGCTTGATCTCTATATTCTCTGTGACAACTTTTGAATTTAAGAGATCACTCTTGTATGCCAGGTCCATAAGCGCCTGATCCAATCAGAGTTTAGTCATGTGTTTATTGTCTATTCTGAACCAATAGAAATTGCATGGCAGTAACATCTTTCTATCTATCTTATCGTCCATTTAGAGATAAATCCTTAAATCGGCGCTATACACTAAATGGAAATATTTACTTCTACTGAAGCTATAGTGAGATAAGTGCTTGAGTGTTGAAATTGTAGTTAACCCTACAAGGTACGATTACATGGGATATCTCATAGAGGAATAAAATTAATCCGTAGGTTTGCACAAGACGATCTTAAAAATTGTGACCTGGGGACAAATCTATTCAAAATGTATACGTCTGGAAAAATACAAAACTTGGAAATACAAATACCAATGATCACAAATGTTACTTGTTATTTTGAACTATAGAAGTTTTGTTTATCTTTAGAAACTACGAACCTTCATCAATTTTAATTTAATATTACTCAACATAAATACTGTTTAATTTGCAAATTTTCATTCAAACAACCTTGTAAATGTAAATAGATATCTTATATATTACAGATTATAATTTTTAACTGAGATAAGCTTAAGGACAAAGCATTTCTAATGCTAATTCTAATTTGAAAAAAATGTCAAAACATTCATTTTAGGGATTAGTAACTTTGAAATTTTAAAGTATTAGGAAGATAAAACCTAAACGGAATTCAGAATTGAGATGAAAACACACTTGGGGAAAAGGGGATTTTTTGTTGTTTCAAATTACAAACATGAAATTTATTTTAAAAAATAATTCTATTTAGACATCAATTAAAATTTTATTTTATTTTCGACTCACCAGACTTGTGTAGCATCTTGACTCTCCTATGGCAGACACCAGTCCCAGTACACCGGTTAGAACTAGAATACACAAGATATAGTCCCAGTACACTGGTTAGAACTAGAATATACCAGATATAGTCCCAGTACACCAGTTAGAACTAGAATATAACAGATATTGTCCCAGTACACCAGTTTGAACTAGAATATACCAGATATTGTCCCAGTGCACCAGTTTGAACTAGAATATACCAGATATTGTCTCAGTACACCATTTAGAAATAGAAGATAGTAGATATAATCCCAGTACACTGGTTAGAACTAGAATATACCAAATATAGTCCCAGTACACTGGTTAGAACTAGAATATACCAAATATAGCTTCCCAGTATACTGGTTAGAATTAGAGTATACCAGATACAGTCCCAGTATACCAGTTAGAATTAAGATATTAAGGACACTATAGAATTGAGCACGTTAGCACCTTTTCAAACCCCCCTCTAGTTTTTTTCCCCAAGAACTCTTATTTTTGGCACTATCACCGTGAATTATTTTTCAACTTTTAATGAATAGAAATTTAAAGGATATTTTTGTAATTATTATTCTTTTTAAGGGTAGGCTACAGGAGGGCCGTGTAAAAAAATCTAAAATAGCCCATTACATTTTTGTTACTAAAGCCACAGATATTAAAAAATATATATTTAAAAAGCCCTTGAAAAATGGATGTAGAAACATGTGTTACATTTTGATCTTTGTTTAAAACAACAATTTTTGTTCAACCCTCCCCAGCACCCAAACTATGAAAGTTATCGGTTTAATTTTTTTCAATGAGCTACCCCAGGCTATACATACATATATTCAGACTTCCCAGCCTTTGTAGGGTTAACGATAAGTTACATTAACGGAACAGATAGGCATATAATGTAACCGTTCGTTTTAGCTCATAACTAGACAGTTTTTTGTTCATTAAAGGAACTTTCATTATTTTTTTAAACACTTCCGTTAGTTTTATTCTAAAATTTTGACAAAAATTTGGTTCAGGAATAATTTACAAAATTGTATTTTCCCAGCCCTAGTCCCAGTACACCAGTTAGAACTAAATTTAACCATAAATGTCAACCTTGGCTTTATTTATTTGATATAACGAATGTATAAATCCCTCTCTTCTGCACCCCCTTACCACCCCCCTTGACAATTGTTTTGAAGTTTATAATGAATAATAATAAATTATCTTAACGACTGAAACAAAAGTAAAAAAATTAAATCACAAAAAACACATTCGTAAACAAAAATCTTTTAAAAAAATCCTTGCACATACGTATAGAGACACATATATATTTTTGGGTTGATTTACATTATAGTTTTATTATAAAGACATTTTATTCTTTTCCATAATTCTTCGCTTTTACCTAAACACCCCTTTTTTGTCGGTCCCTTCCTATTATATCAGTTTTAAAATGTATATGTAAAAAATCCGCTGAACCATTCAAACAAAAAACTTAATCAGTCAATCAATCAATCAATCAATTAGCTGTAATTTCTTGATTGAAGATATCCCCTCGCTTCCTGATCAGTTAGACACTAATATAGTTTACTAGCTTTCTTTCCTTAAAATAGATTTATAAAAGAGAAACCTATCGGTGGACCATAGAATCTGAGTTAGACTCTTCCGGGCCGGGGACCCCTCCCCTCCCTGGCGCCGATATTTCTTAATATTTTTTCCCCTATAGTTATAAAGTTAAAAATTCCTAATATTTGTAACGTGTTTTTAAATGTTTCATTCTTTGGTGTTTGGGAAACGTAAAAAAATATTTATATTTCTCTACACCGGTAGGACTGGGCGTGTGCCTGTTTTTTTAATTGTTCGTTCCTCGTTCTAGAACGAGGGCCTTCAGCTGAATCACTCGTTCTTATTTCAATTGTTCCATCCCCGTTCCGTTCCGTTATTTTTGTTCTTGATAGAGAACGGTTCCGAGAACAGTTCCAAGGGACGGGTTTTAATGGGTTGAGGGGGGAAGGACTTCGATTAACGAGAAGAGCTTGGGTAAAGGAAGGTAAAACGGCCAACCCCTTCAAACCTACAGAATTTACAATTATACAAATAAATTAAAACTCTACAATTTTCACCCATTTCTATTATTTCTAGATGATTTAGATCGCGTTCTTGATAGAAAGATTTCAGATCGTTCTTTTCAATCCATTACCGTTTCTTCCAATATTCTTAAGAGAGCGTTCTATGTATTCGTTATTTTTTCGGAACAAAAACATCGTTGTTGATAATTCCGTGCGTTCCCGTGAAAGAACGATTTTTCCCAGAAACTGACACCCCGCCATATATACACCTTTGTATTATAATACAATTCTAGATTGAATCCCAGTACTCGGTTTTTATCCCTTTAAACTAAGTTCTTATAAAATCCTTCCTTGTATCATCTAATAGACAAACAATCCTTTAAACTGTAGATTACCATATCATATATATATATATGTATACAGTCTGCAGGGTGTCTAAGAAAGCAGTTAAAATATATTCTAGAATCAATTTTTTATTAAAATTTTTCTATCCCAATACGTTGCTGCCCTTTTTCAATATTTATGAGATTCCCATTTTAAATGTTTAGTTAATGAAACAATTAATAAATTTCACTCTTTAAACAATAAATATTTCCAAATATTAATATTGTTTAAAAATAGAAAATCGGTCAAAATCAGAAATTGAAGAGTTGTGGTAAAGATCGTTAGTAGATGTTGTAATTATAATATTTAGTTTATATCTTACAACAGAAACAAATCTCACGAAATGATAATTATATAAGTTATTTTTAAGCTTTTTCTTACTTTTATTTTTGTTGTGGTTTTTAATTTTGGTTAACATTGTTCTTTAAATGCAAAAGAATATCAACCCAGACCAAAATATGTTCTTGAAAAAATGTGGAGTTATCATATATTCTGCACAGTTTACTTAACTGCATTTTGATTTATTTTAAATCAAATAACTGGGTTTTAAGACACCCTGGATATATTTGTTAAAAAGGCGGGGCTCCAAATCGGACAAAACTCAAAACATTTCTTATAAATTGTTGTACATACGTACTTCAATATTTGAAAATTATGTTGTAAAGTATATCAATGTTAGCCTGGCTAGAATTCATATTAAATTCCGTAAATAATGGAAATCATAAGATTCTAATATAAATATCTTTTATATTCATTTATTTCTACCAAAGAGTAAATATGGATAAATAATAACAATTGAATTCACTTGTTATTCATGAATATCAGAGACTAAATGTCTAAATGCAGGTAGAAAAATAAAACTGAATATTTCTCCAAATTTGCCATAGACTTAGATTACATCAGAATCTTTCTTCTCAATCTTTGAATTTTTAGAAAAACTTTACTGAAAGAAAGAATTTCTTTTGTGTTTTATATGAAACCTTTATACACAAAAACATCCGCAATATTTACATGTTTATGTGTGAGGTGCTTAAAGAAACACATTTAAACGATCCATCAAATGGAAAAGGTTTCTCACATTTAATTGCTTGTCTGTGCTGTACTGTATTGCCCTTTTCTACAGTTTTGTCACGTCATCAAACCATCCCTACGCCCCCCTCCCACCACCACTTCAATTTAATCCCATTCCCTTCAGACCAGTTGGCAGTTGTAATTTTAAAACCTTTGCATTTATTCATACAGTGGGAAATGTGAAATGAAATGGTATAAAGAGAGAAGAATAGGATATCCGGAATATATCTAACACTAATTAAATATTTTTATATTAGAGACGTTATTTTTAGATGACCCTTAATTTATAGAGTGTCATGTCCGATTCACGCCGGTTCTCTTCAAAACTGAAACTAGCATATAGAAGAAGAAAGATGTGATTGTTATCATATCTGGACAGTGTTACATGACAAGCAAGACATTCTAACAATTTCATTCTTTTTGACTGTTTCATGTACATATATTTGAAAGTAATTGTTATATAAAAACACAGTAATATATATATAATCCATTTTTGAACATAAAACATAAATTTTCTTTCAATAAGATGTAAATTGTAAAGAGAACCGTTTGGAACCGGGCACGCCCTCTTTCAATGGAGATTTAAAACAATTAATGAAAAATAGCACTTTTCAAAAATCCTTAGCTTGGTGTAAATCATTCTTAATGCAACATTTTGAAAATTTCAAGAAATTCTTTGTCAAACTGCTTGTGAAAAGGTTATACATAGTTTTAGAGGAGAGAGGAGAAAAGGATAAGGGGTTTTAGGAGTGGCGTATTAGGAATGTTTCGTGAAAATCACTCCATTTGTCCACATGTATGCGGAGTTGTCCTCTTTTAACAGCTCTGCTCAGAGAGCAGGGAAAGGACCCTTCCGGTGTGGTAACAGTTCGCCCAATAACGTTTCACCCAATCACGTTTCGCCCAAAACGTTTCACTCAATTTTAGGTAAAATGACGTTTCCCCCAATTCACGTTTCACACAATACTACGTTTCACCCAAATTATGTTTCACCCAAACTACACTTATTAAAGAGTTTCACCCAATTTTTTTTTTCATTCTTCTAAAACATACATTGCCGATGAATTATGATTTCCGATCATAACTCAAAAACCCCTGGACCGATTTGCCTCAAATTTCGATTGGGAAAAACAAGAGAATTGTGGGAATGTTTTTAGATTGGTTTAAAAAAATCTAATCTGAGTGGGTCGACTCATATATACAAATATATTAATGCAAATTGTTGTAAATCCGCAACTTTTTTGTTCGAAATCTGCAAAACCACATTTTATCTGACCATGGCGGCACAGTTACATGTAGCTAAGTACATCTCCTCAAAAAGGGGGAAGCCCATTCTTATTGATCAAAATAGCCATGAATATCGACTCAAATCTGAAACGGGAGAGTCTAAATACTGTAACCTTATCTATACAATTTTAATAAATTAAAAGATATAATTTTTAAAAAGTCAAAATAAATTTTGCAAGATTCTTTTTTTGGGTGAAACTCTTAAGTTAGTGTAGTTTGGGTGAAACGTGAGTTGGGTGAAAGGTATTTTGGGTGAAACGTGAATTGGGTGAAACGTTATTTTGAGTGAAACATTATTTTGGGTGAAACGTTATTGGGCGAACTGTTACCACACTGACCCTTCCAGAAATGGCTCCTATCGCTAATTGGAGTGGACATAAAACTGGATTAGTATTAGAAATATTAGCTCTTTGTTATTCCTATTTCTTGACTTAGTACACCGGCTGTGGGTACTGTAGTTAAGGAGGCAGCTAGCTATTTGAGCACGGAGTTCAGGATCGCTTGGCCTTCCCTCCCTCCATATGTGCAGATAGTGCAGAGTGCTTGCTAGCAGAGCTCTTTTATCCTAGGCTGCAGGTTACTTAAAAACTTTAATCAAAATACGCTCTTACCATGTCCAATAAATATCTCTTTCAAGGATATAATTTTAAACAAAACAAATAAAAAAGATAACTTTCAAACCCTGGGAAAAATATTTTTCTTAAAGAACACAATTACTAGTCAGAAAAAATAAATGTTCTTTGTTGGAGATTAAAACTATAGATAGGAAACTGATTTACTAGTAACTTAAAACAATTACTTAAATCTAAGATTTTATAATATTTGAAAATATATATTTATTTGTTTTCTTGGCGTTATGTAAGTATTAGTGAGGAATAAAATAAGAATAACATTCAGGTGTTTTAGAAAAAGAGAAGATTAAAGTTCATCAAAAACACCCTGTAAAACCTTAATCCTATGAATACTTCTGTAGAACATCTGCGAATACTTTTACATAAAACTCTTTGTATACTTTGCATACCTAAGTAGACGCCAAGCTGGAGAAATATTGTTGTCCAGAGGAGGGCAGGTAGAGGGAGTAGGGATAGGTAGAGAGATACAGTAGGACTAAACAGTATCCAGGTACCTAGATATATACAGTAGAAATAAACAGTATCCAGTACCTAGATATATACAGTAGGACTAAACAATATCCAGTACCTAGATAAATACAGTAGGACAGTATCCAGTACCTATAGATATATACAGTAGTACAGTATCCAGTACCTAGATATATACAGTAGGACAGTATCCAGTACATAGATGAATACACTTAGACTAAACAGTATCCAGGTACCTAAATAGATATAAACAGTAGGAATAAACAGTATCCTGTACCTAGATATATACGGTAGGACTAAACAGTATCCAGGTACCTAGATATATACAGTAGGAGTAAACAGTATCCAGTACATAGATATATACAGTAGGACTAAACAGTAACCAGGTACCTAAATAGATATAAACAGTAGGAATAAACAGTATCCAGTACCTAGATATATACAGTAGGACTAAACAGTATCCAGGTACCTAAATATATACAGTAGGAGTAAACAGTATCCAGGTACCTAGATATATACAGTAGGAATAAACAGTATCCAGGTACCTAGATATTTATAGTACAAATAAACAGTATCCAGTACCTAGATATATACAATAGGACTAAACAATATATCCATGTACCTAGATAGATATAAACAGTAGGAATAAAAGTATCCAGTACCTAGATATATACAGTAGGACTAAACAGTATCCAGAACCTAGATATATACAGTAGGACTAAACAGTATCCACTATCCAGGTACCAAGAATATATGTATTTTTAAGTATGTACTTATAACAGGTATCAAAGCAGAATTAAGAATTGACAATTAACAGAGTTGAGTCAGTCTTAGTGACAGCTTAACAGAGCTTAAACACAATTTTAAAGGACGCTTAATAAAAATCAAGCCATCGATGCCGACTTTAAATCAGATTTCTTCATTATTTCCTTATTTCCGAGACAATCTTGTTTTTGTTTAGTTAAAAAAGAAAAGATTTTGTTTCCTATAATTCACTTCTTCTACCTGGAGTTGAAAGAAAAGCTTAAAGGATTGAATTATCTGCTTGTGAAATGTATGGGTTTAACCACAAAACCAATTCAATTCAATTTGCTCTGAGCTCTACTATATAGTATGCATGCACACATAATATAGTTTAAGAAGAAAAGATAAAACAAAAATGTTCTCAGCTTTGCTAAGATCTAAACCATTTCTTTGAGTACATAAGTGCATGTAACTTGCTATACAGAAGAATTGTATTTTGGATTCAAAAATGCATATAATTTCCTTGTGAGATGATTGATGTATTAGTAAGAAAGCGCAGCCTATGTTACTGTTACTTACTGTCAATTGACCCAGGGATAACATTGGGCCGGTGTAAAAAAATCCCAGTTTGAAATGTAATTAGGTCTAAACTAAAATGGTTTATGCAAAGATATTGGGATTAGAAAATTATATTTTGAGGTAAGTGTTCTTATTACAACTTTTTTGTCACAATCATCAATAAACCTTCATGTCAACTTTTGTAAATTAAACATGGGACTTATATATTTATATTTATAGAATCCTTACGGTAAGCATAAATCTAGAAAATATTGGAATAACCCAATTCACTTGTATAATCCAATCTATTTCATTAGAAGAATGCAATACACTCATTGGATGAATGCAATTTTAATGATTGGATGAAAACAGTCATGATTCATTGGGGATGAATACAATCATGATTTATTGAAAAAATGTATAAATCCGATCCATTCAATTATTACTACAATCAAATTCATTGAACGAATGCAAATCATGAGATGAATAAAATCATAATATTAGATGAACGCAATCAAATTTATTTTTGAATCAAGGTTATAATGCAAGGAAAGTTATTTCAGAGGTGTACGCATCTTTTGTACTGCAGTGTACCGTCTCTGGGCGGTTATGTAAACACAAGACGGATGTCGAAGCTCGACATGGGATCCATCTTTCACATAAAAAATCAATGAAATATTCTGGTCATAGGAAAATATTATGTGAATTATCAAAATTATCAAAATTAAATGCTATTAACCTTCTCGGATACTAAACGAACACTTATTCATCTATTCTGATTAATTTAATGAATACAATTCAATTTATTGGACAAATGTAATACAATTGCATAAGAAAAGTTCTATTTTGATAAATAGATTGAAGGAAAAAATGTACTCTAACTTGAATAAAAATGTTTTCAAAAAATGAAATGGATTGGAAAATTACTCACCACAGAGAAGAGATAGAATTCCGATTAGTTTAATTCCTGCACAGTTCAATATAAATCTATCCTTAATTGAAATGATTTACTAGTTTACGAGATATACTGGGCTTACCAGGGATACCGGGGATACCAGGTATACCAGGGATACCAGGTATACCAGGGATACCAGGGATACCAGGGATACCAGGGATACCAGGGATACCAGGGATACCAGGGATACCAGGGATACCAGAGATACCAGGGATACCAGGGATACCAGGGATACCAGGGATACCAGGGATACCAAGTATACCAGGGATACTAGGGATACCAGGTATACCAGGGATACCAGGGATACAAGGGATACCAGGGATACCAGGGATAGTAGGGATACTAGGGATACTAGTGATACCAGGTATACCAGGGATACCAGGGATACCAGGGATTCCAGGGATACCAGGGATACCAGGGATACCAGGGATACCAGAGATACCAGGGATACCAGGGATACCAGGGATACTAGGAATACCAGGGATACCAGGGATACCAGGGATACCAGAGATAACAGAGGATAGATTTATTTCCTAAAGATATTGTGATCACTAAACATTTGCTGATTTTAAATCTCATTTTTTCTACAATATGATCAATGGAGGTTATTCCATAACAAGAGTTATTAATCACCTAAGAGCTGAAATGTAAACACCTGTTGCAAAACCATCCTAAAACATTTGAAATCTTCTGAACATACTCTTGACTAAATACAAGCATATTTACTTCCTAAAGTCTCATATCATTAATCATATTTCTAACATTGAAATTAGCTTATTTATTCAAAAGTAGGTTTTCAAATCGGAATTTTGTTGCGCGGAATAGTGCGCAACTGTTCTCGTGAAGAATTGCCTGGAATTGCGCGAAAGTAAAATCCACTTGCGTTGGAAACCCTATTCAAATGTTTAATGAAATAAATGTTAAATGGGTATAATATAAAAGTGTTCTAAAGTTGAACTAGTTAATAGCATTATGTTCAAAAAATGCTAAACACATTTAGACTATACATCCTTAATATAGGTTTGATGTATATTTTTGTGTGTGAATAAACCATTATAATATAATTAGTAAATATATTAGATATATTATTAAAGTGAAAACTTTTGTAAGAAATAGTTTAAATCTACGATACTTGATCTCAATATCCACGGCGACAACTTTTAAATTTCAGAATTATGTGGTTAAATCATCAATTTTAATTATCCCTGCCATTGGTTTCGACCTTAGAATATTGAAGAGAAATTGATTTAATCCTTTGATCGATAAAAGATTTAGAAAACTGCTTGATCCCGTGAGATTTGACCTCTGTAAATACAGTATAAATGTATATATGCTTCGGGTTCCCTGGTTTGTGTAGGACTAAGAGTATTCCCTGTACAAGATCTAACCTCCGTCCATGTATCCCGCATCTTAATATCTTCCTTCATCATATATTCACCTAGCAGAGATTGTAATTATCCTCAATATAACTTTAGTTCAATCTTCTCCAGATCTTGGTTGGACAGCTTATGAACTAGTTTCATCGTAAACATAATCAAAACTATTTACGAACAGATGTCATTGGAGCATCTATTTTTGTAAAAATTCTAATTTAAAAAAAATATATTTAGTTCTTATGTTAATATAACATAAGAAATGGTCCAGGAAGGTGGGACTTGGAAGGGAAAGAAAACAATTTACAAAATTGATTCAAAATATTCACATATTACATTAGACGAGATGGGTTTGAGAATATATTACATAAATAAGTCTGCTAAATAAATATATATGATACCTTATACATTAATACTTTTTATGAATACAATAAATTCATGATTTCGTCATATACAGGGTTACCCACAAAAAATGATAATTTAATGACGACCTGGAACTTTTATATTCTGATTCAATGTCGATGATCGATGTGAAGGTGCAAATGGTCATAGTTTTTAGATTTGTTTAAAAGGGAGTGACCTGCAATGAATGGTGGTTGAACTGAGTATGCATTATTGTGGACAAATATTTTAGGATTCATTTCAGACGTTTCCACGATGTATAATTACAGAGTTTGAGCCCAAAGTCGACGTTCAAAATCATGAATTTTGGTGGGAACATATTTCCGAAAAGAAAGGAATTGAGTCTTTGCCACAAACTCTGATTTTCTAATCACTATATATTTGGAACCAAATGTTGTAGACCTTAGATATTTCAAACTATGAATTTTGTTAGATCAAATAATCTAAGTTTGAAATATCAAAGGTTTACAACATCGGGTTCTAAAGATATTGAGGTTTAAATATTTGATTTTGTTCCAAAGACTCAATTCCTTTGTCAATTTATCAATGTTAGCATCAATTATTTCGGATTCGTCATTATACTGGATTTATTATTTTCTATAAATTTGTTCGCAGAATTCTAAAAATTATATTTGTTAATAATGAGATATTATACAAACTAATAATTGAATAAGATTACTTATTTTTAATGATAAGAGTTAATTTTTATTTTCTCAACTTGTTCCTAAACAACTTATTAGTTTACTGTAGAATTTTGTTTACATTTTTTGTCGTCGTTATCTAATAATTAAAAAAAAAGATTCTGAAAATTCATGATTTTGAACGTCAACTTTGCACTTAAACTTAGTAAATATACGTCGTAGAAACGTTTTATATTTCTTAAATGAATCCTAAAAATGTTTTCCATAATACTGCATATTCAGATACATTGCCGGTCACTCCCTTTAAGATATTAAAGGTTTTTGACGTTGTAGTGACCCAAAAAAATGTGAGTTATTTATTTTTTACATAAAGCGATTTTTTTCTTTAATCAAAGATATTCACTTAAAGGATTTTCAAAACTAAAAACGAAAAACGACTTTACTAATCGTTTTGAAAAACGTTTCATGGTTAATATCTTTATCCAAAGAAAAGTTTTGCAGAATGTATAAAAAAACAAACTTATCTAGGATGCAATTTTGAAATGGATTTACATTTCAGATTCTCGTTTTAATGTTTAAAACCCAACCTTAAACGATGTGTTAAAGTTTTAGAAAATGGTCGTGGTAAGAAAAGAGAGAAGATTATTGTCACACAGTCGTCTCTAAATATCATTATTTGTGGGAAACCCTGTACTTTTATGTTGATGATGCCTGTAAATCTAGAAACTTCATATTTTATGAGTTTTCAGAGGTTCAAATTTAATCAGTAAAAATCCATAGCAAAACCTTTCTCAATATCGTAAAAAACGTTTGAAGAATTTTTTTAAAAAGAAAATAAGGAAAAAAACAGATTTTTTAGTATCCATTTTATATAGGATAAAGATCCTTGCTTAATTTAATTCAATTATTATAACAAAATCCATAAATGAAAATTTTGTTTTTGCAAATATTACACCGGATATATTTTTAGAGAAACGGTAAGTAAGCTGAAACCCGAGAACAGCTCAGGAAAAGACAATATTTCTACCAAACTTCTGAAGGAGATCATTATCCTATAGCACATTTATTTAATCTTTCTTTTAAAACAGGATACATCCCTAGCGAGTATAAATGTTTTAAAAAGTATTCCCATCTTTGAAGCGGACTAAAAAAATAAGTTTAATAATTACAGACCTATAAGTATTCTTCCAGCTTTGAGTAAGCTACTTGAAAAAATTGCTGTAATACAAATGTTTAGGTATCTTGATAAGTTTAATATCTTTTACGAGCACCAATTTGGATTTAGACCTAAACATAACACAAATCAACCACTTTTGCACTTAATGAATAAAATCTATAAAAACCTTAATAAATCTAAACCAGAATTTACACTTGGAATATACCTAGACTTAAAGAAAGCTTTTGATTGTTGTGATTTAGACATACTTTTAAACTAATTCATTATGGCTTCAAAAATGTCGCCAACGCCTCTTTGCAGATGATACTAGTTTTTAAAGTCATCTCCTGACATTGCAAGCCTAATACTTGATGCAAACACTGAACTAAAAAAAGCAGCAAAATGGTTTCCGTTTGACACTACAAATGTCTCCAAAACAAAATATATAGTATTTAGAAATAAAAATATGCACTTTGATCCCAACAGTTGTAATATATCAATAGGAAATGAGATACTTGAAGGAATTGGTAAAGACTTGTGAACAAATATTTCAAATTTGTTGGACTTAAACTTGACGACTTGAACATATCTCGAATAAATTGCGAGCTCAATCTTTAAGAATATCTTACCAAGTTACCATTAAATATTCGTCTACTTGTTTATAACTCTCTTGTAAGGCCTCATATTGAATATGGAATTGTTACTTGGGGAGGGATTAAAAACTCTAAACTGCAAAAAAATCAGATCTTTTTTCAAAAAAAGGCAATCAGAGCGGTTAATAAATAATAATAGTACTTTCAAGGCACATTCAAATTCATTATTTTTAAAACTGAAAGTTCTTAATCTTGATGATACATACAAACTTAGTGTTCTGACGTTTATGCATGGATACTTTAATGTTAACTTTCCCTCTTCCTTCCAAAAGATGTTTATGAACCGTATAGAACAAAATCATATAAATTAGAATGGGTCGGGTTTTTAAAAAAAATCTAGAAAGCTTTCTGTTCCGCAATGTTTCCTAAATTGTGGAATGAATTGACCTTAAAGAAACTAAATCTGCAAAAATATTTGAACAAATATTTATCTTGAAAATTATGAGAGGTTTAAATGCGGAAAACCTAGTTGTATATTGTGTGAATAAATTTTACATAAAAATACTAAAATAACTGAAACTTTATTAGCTTAAATGTTATCCATCATCTTTAACACACTGTATTTTAATTCATCTCTACATTAAATCCTCTGACCTTACCCTGCCACAGATCACCTGACAATTTAATCCTTCTAATCAACTTCTTATTGCATAGTTAATTGTGATTGCTTATTTGTAATTACTCATGCTTTGTAGTTGAATTAAAATATGAAATATGAACTTGGCATTTTTATGGGATTATTGTTCTGCTCCGGCAGAGTTTTACATGAACAGTTAGTTTAGGTAAATATTTACATAAACGGTTAGTTTAGGTAAATATTTATATAAACGGTTAGTTTAGGTAAATATTCACATGAACGGTTAATTTAGGTAAATGTTCACATGAACGGTTAGTTTAGGTAAGTATTCACATGAACGGTTAGTTTAGGTAAATATTTACATGAACGGTTAGTTTAGGTAAATATTTATATGAGCGGTTAGTTTAGGTAAATATTTACATGAACGGTTAGTTTAGGTAAATATTCACATGAACGGTTAGTTAAGGTAAATATTTACATGAATGGTTAGTTTAGGTAAATATTCGCATGAACGGTTAGTTTAGGTAAATATTTACATGAACGGTTAGTTTAGGTAAATATTCACATGAACGGTTAGTTTAGGTGAATATTTACATGAACGGTTAGTGTAGGTAAATATTTACATGAACGGTTAGTTTAGGTAAATATTCACATGAACGGTTAGTATAGGTAAATATTTACATGAACGGTTAGTTTAGGTAAATATTCACATAAACGGTTAGTTTAGGTAAATATTCACATGAAAGGTTAGTTTAGGTAAATATTTACATGAACGGTAACTTTAGGTAAATATATTTACATGAACAATTAGTTTAGTTAAATATTTACATGAACGGTCAGTTTAGGTAAATATTGACAAGAACAGTTAGTTTAGGTAAATATTTACATGAACGGTTAGTTTTGGTAAATATTGACAAGAACAGTTAGTTTAGGTAAATATTTACAAGAACGGTTAATTTAGGTAAATATTTACATGAACGGTTAATTTCGGTAAATATTTACATGAACGGTTAGTTTTGGTAAATATTGGCAAGAACAGTTAGTTTAGGTAAATATTTACAAGAACGGTTAATTTAGGTAAATACTCACATGAAAGTTTACTTTAGGTAAATATTTACATAAACAGTTATTTACATGAACGGTTAGTTTAGGTAAATATTTACATGAACGGTTAGTTTAGGTGAATATTTAC